GATGTTTTTATTGTACATGATGTCACCATAATACAAATGAAATTTGAAAATTGAAGGAAGAGACTTGATTACAGAGAGTATAAGGCATTTGAACAGTTTATTTATACTGATAAAAATTTCAAAAAGAGAGTAGAGAAAGAATCGGTTCTTATAAATTGATGTAGAAAAAAATCCTTCGTCAGATCAGTCACTACACGCCAGGTGCCGGGGCCATGATGATTTGCTCCAGTTAAGATCTACATCTGGAACATCAGCTACAATTGAAATCACCAGCTGATAAATTTATGATAATAAACAGTCTTCTTTGAGATTTATCTACCTTCTTTACAGGCCAAATAGGTGAGTTAACTAGGGATGAGACAGGTATCACCACCCTGTATCTTTCAAGTCTTTGATGATGACTCTAATCTCTGCAATTCCCCCAGGAAAGTGGCATTGCTTTTGTTTTTCTATCTTGATAAAGAAGGACTTCTACTTGGCTCTTCCTACCATAGAAGCTCTCACTCCACAGGTTAGAGAGCCAATGTGGGCATCTGCCAGTTGCCAAGTATGTCTATTCTGATTTAACATTCCGGACCTCGGGAAATAAATACAGGGTGGGTTCATAGACCTACTGGCCCCGCTGTCATTCAAACAAGACAAAATTCCGTTTATCACCTGACCACCATAAGTCCCCCACTTTGACTTATAGACCACGGAGGCATTTTGGGTCCCCAGAAATGAGTGTCAATTCAGAGTCAATGTATATCAATCCCCAAAAGGTTTGGGCAAATGGCTGTATGTCCTTCGAGGACTACTTGGAGGAAGATTTAAAGTATATTCTTGTAGAAGTGTTGCAGGATTCTTTCTCAAGGAGAACCAACCTCCTCTTCAATCAAGGAGCTCCAGATCTGTGAACAGCTTAAGTCTGAAAACTTGATAAGAAGCCTTGACTCTCCATTGTGATAACACAGTCAGGTTTTTGGTCACTAGATCTGGAGTTTTTCCTGTTATTTAAATCAAGTAAAATTTTTTGTAGGCTGCTCATCTATTTCATTCCTAGTGACACTATGATCAATTAGCCACAACCAAAGATTCTTGTGGGTCAAAACATTCTGATTACCATCCTTCATCCCTGTTGCCCGTTATGATAAATGCACTCATCCTGTCTCTGGCTAGTAAGTGCTTTCACTTGGCCTTGTGAGTCTGAAATTCCTGCATCATCCCCACTAAAATCAGGGAGCCCACCTCACTGACAAAATCTCTTGATATCATACCTGGCCTGTAGAAGATAGCCATCAGAAAGCTTTTCAAGGATACTGATGCTCTGTGCACTAGTGTGTTTCTCAATGCCTTAGTGAAGGGATCAAGGGGTGGGAAATAGGGGTGCAAGTTAGTCATGAAAAATCCACTCCAACATCTCTATCTCCCAAAGCCTTTGAATTCCTCTGCATTATACCAGAGAAAGTCTGGCATCTCACCCTCATCGAATAGAGGCCACTGTAGAACCCAAGTTTCAACCAGCCAATCAAGTACACTATTAAGGTCACTTCCAGCTATACAAATCAACACATTAAATCCAGAATATCTGGTTAAGTGCACCTATATCAAAATTCGCTGATCCAATGTTATATTCCATTCTCCTTGGTCTAACATCCTTAGGATTAATTTCTACACATATTCCCCAGGTTTCTGTTGATACAAATTTTTAGAATCTTATATTTCTTTTGGAAAATAAGCTATTTTCTCCTGAGTCAGAACCTTGCATTATTTCCCTAGAGTATGCTGAAATCTGACTCATTATGTCTAAAGGCAACAAGCGGGGGTTGGCATGAATTTTGAGAATAGGCATCTCTTGCTGCTTTAAGTGAGGTTATTATAGTATCTTCAAGCAAAATAAGTGGGGAGAGTTGCTTCTGCTAACAAGAATGGCTCCGAATGACTTGGGGACTCAAGATTCTCAACTACATCTGAGTCTACGTGGGTGTCCCCATTCCAAGTCTCAGGATCCCAATCCTTCACAATCAACCCCCTGACTTTCACATTAGATACTTCATGAGGCTGTGAATTAAGCTTTTGGTGTAATTATCTAAACTGCATATTTAAATTTTGTGTTTGGTTTTTAGTGAGGTGAGCCCTGCCGATACTAGAAGAGATTCTTTTAGGGCCACCATAGAAGCTCTTTGGTTTTCTGACCATCATTTGAGCTGAGAGTTTAAAGACTTGAGCTGGTTATTTTTCTTTTTGTAAGTATTCATCCCCACCCCACGATCCTTATAGTCCATCATTACTATCATAATGGTTAAATGTAGCAGCCACTTGGTCCCCAGGGCACTTGCTTCACTGGGCACTTCCCCACAGCCTATCACAGGTGGCATTTTGATTAATTTTGATGTTACTGGGTGTCATGGGTTAAAATACCCCATTTTTTTAATTGACAAGGAGCTCAGCACTGTTCTTGAGGCCAAGAATATGGCCAAACCAACCGCAGAATCCCATCTTTGAAGGTCTGTTTTCTAACCCCACTGTTAATACTACATATCAGTCAGGACGCAATTAGGGAAACAAACCATCCCAGTTGTTTTAATAGAGAGGATTTAATATGGGAAATTAGTTAAACAGGTACTGGAGGACTGAAAAGGCAAAAAGGGAACAAACAGGTAACTCAGAGATAGTAAATGCAGGTTGGGGGACAAAGGGAAGGAGTTATATTAGAATGTAGAAGCTTGGAGAAGGGACCCCATGGGCATAGTCAGGCTGGTTCTGGGTGTGTGTGTGTGGGAAACCTGGAAATTGGAACTGTTTCTGCCAGGATGAACTGCTGCTGGAGTGACACTGACAGTAACAGCAAGCAGAACAGGAAATAGTCATTGCTTTCTCCTTCCTCTCACCTTGCAGGCTCCCTCTAGTGCCCCCTACTGGCAGAGCCTAACATGGAGCCGCCTGGCAAAGGACAAATGTACTTGGCAGAGTCTCAGCCAAAGCGGAATGTCAAGGGTGGATTTGGAGCTGAGTCACAATAGCTTAATAAGCAGCATTTTTCAAGTTTTTCTGACTGGTTGTTAAAAGGATGAAATGATACCATGTATATTAAATATCTAGAATTGTACTTGGTCCCTAGAAAGTGTTCAATAAATCTTAACTCTTTTTTCTGACATAATTGAGATGAGCCATGTGGAGTTTTTTTCCTTCATTCTGTTAATGTGGCTTATTACATTGATGGATTTTTGTATGTTGAACCATCCTTGCATTCTAGGAATGAATCCCACTTGGTCACGATGTACAATTCTTTTAATATGCTGTTGAATTTGCCTTGTCAGCTTTTATTTTTAATTGCTGTTTACCATATAGATAGAGTCAAGTTTTCTGAGGGAGAGATTGAGTCAAGGTGACCTTAAAAGTATAACTGGAGAATTTCCTGGCCTGTCCGCTCTGAAAGCCATCCCAGTTTTACATTCATGGGCTGTTTACAGGAAACTGCTCTCTCTCCCCTGGTCTTTCAGTGTGCCCCGTTATTCTCTTAATTGCAAGTGGATGTAGCTAGAGACAAATGGGAAATGTAAACTGAGTGATTTAGAACAATTTTGAGAGCCTAGCTTTTTCTAAGTGGTAGGGCTGGTTTTGACTGTTAACTCAGGGGATAAGAGCCTGAAAAGAATGTCAGGCCAGCTGACCAGAATTTTTGTGGTGAAAGAGAAAGGCTGGCTCCACTGGATCCACTGGTCTAGCTCAGTGGGAAAAGGACAGACCACTCCTATTGCACCTGCACTGCATCCTTGCTGCTCGAGAACGCACCCGGGAAGATACCTGCTTGCTTCCGCATCTGTTTGGCAGTGAAGTTGGAGAGTAAAAGCCTTCTCCTGTAGCAGGGAGAGGCATTTTGGTGGGGAAAGAAGTCCCCTGGTCTCCTGGGAGCACTTGGGGTTAACTTGGCATAAGAGCCACCTTGGCATTTAATCTCCCTTGGAAATTTTGGTTCTGTTGGTTGAGTTGGGAACTCAGATTTTGCCTTTTAAAAAAGTGACCAGGTGATTTTTATCATCAGGGAAGTTTGGGAAGCCCTGCCCAGGGAAGGAGGACAACTACTTTCCTGGACCTTCTGCTCAATGCTGCAAAAGGACGCTGATATAATATTTAACCACTGAAGGGAGACAAATCTGTTTGGATAAGATCTGTCTAGGAAAGGAAGAGGCTATAGTTACTATTCTGTGGAGGAGGACATCCGTGGGGCTGTGTTGAAGTTCTGTAGTTATGAGTGATAGATAATGTCATTGAGGATCAAGCGTTCTTCTGTAAATCAGCTTGGGCTTGGTTGCAAAACACAGCAGGCTTGAAAATGCAGCTGTTAACTTCACCTTGGAAACCAGGGACTGTGCTGCCACCACGGAGGGAGGGTCTGAAGTGCCTGGTCCAGGGACGTCAGGTCATAACTGAAGCTCATTCAACCTCTGCCAACGATGCGGTGCATGGAAAGGTTTCCTCTGCTGTCTTTCCTCTCCTGCAGCTGGAATTATTCCCCAAATACTGACAGCAAGAGGAACCTGGGGCTGGCCAGAAAAGAGCAGGACCTCAGAGCTTTGTGAGAGTTATGAAAGTTTAAGTGGCATCGCAACTAGAGATTCCTGAAGTGGGAAGGAATACACAGACAGTATGAAATAGGTGTCTGCCTATTGCTAATGAGCTGATCCAGTAGGAACACTGGGTTAGGTTCCTGAGCATGTGGTGGATACACCAAGGCCCCCTGCACTGCTCGAGGCCCTGGAGGTCACTCTGCCATTTCTACAATCTTGGTTTTGGTAGGAGGCAGACAGGGCCTTGAGTATCTAGAAAATTGCCTCCTAGCACATAAGATGGGTTCAGTAAATCCTTTTTGAATGAGTAAATGAATGAACGTGAGTGAGGAAGACAGCTTGTCACTGAATTTCAAAACAGAGACCTTCAATTATTGACAATATATGAGAAAACTTCAGGCCTCATTTCTTAGACCTTTATTCTTCTAAACAAAGTTCAGCCCTTTGCCTGTTATACTCTGTTAACCACAGCAGCCCAAAGTTCTTCCATAACTAATCTGAAGCTGATTCCTTTGCTCTGCTCCAAGGAGCGCTCTCACTCCCTTTCCCCTCTAAGAAGCGGGCGATTGCGTGAGGAATGATGGAGCAGGGAAGCAGACGCTTGGAGGACTTCCCTCTCAACGTGTTTTCGGTCACTCCTTACACACCCAGCACCGCTGACATCCAAGTGTCTGATGATGACAAGGCAGGGGCCACCCTACTCTTCTCGGGCATCTTCCTGGGACTGGTGGGAATCACGTTCACCGTCATGGGCTGGATCAAATACCAAGGCGTCTCCCACTTTGAATGGACCCAGCTCCTTGGGCCCATCCTGCTGTCAGTTGGGGTGACATTCATCCTGATTGCCGTGTGCAAGTTCAAAATGATCTCCTGCCAGTTGTGCAAAGAAAGTGAGGAAAGGGTCCTGGACTCAGAGCAGATGGCTGGAGGACAGTCGTTTGTTTTCACTGGTATCAACCAACCCATCACCTTCCACGGGGCCACTGTGGTGCAATATATCCCTCCTCCCTATAGCTCTCAAGATCCCGTTGGGATGAACACCACCTACCTGCAGCCGGTGGTGAACCCGTGTGGCCTCATACCATCCGGAGGAGTGGTGGCCGCCACGCCAAGCCCTCCTCAGTACTACACCATCTACCCTCCAGAGAACGCTGCCTTTGTGGACGACCAGGACTACGCTTCCTTCGTGGATGGTGGACATGACAGGTATGGTGTGTGTAGTGGGGACACTCCCCTTCCAGCTGTCACAGTGATGGTCTATGGCTGTGTTTGTTCTGTAAGGAAGGTGGGGGAAGAATGTAAATCTCTGTGCACCTGTTGCCAGGATGGCGGCATCGGTTCTGAGAGTGGGCTGTGGGCTGTAATGCATCTGTGCCTTCTGCTCACATTTCAGGTCCAGCCCCGATGCTGAGCAGCTGGAAGAGACACAGCTGGGAGATGGGGACTCTGCCACCTTCTCTCCTCCCTCCTATGAGGAAATATACTCCCTCTCTCGCCAGAGACTATGATGCCCAGGGAAAGGCACTGAAGTCATTGTTGCTGAAGACTGAAGTGTGCTATGCTCTGACCTTCAGAAGTTAGACAGCCGAGCAGCCCAGACAGCCTGACAGATACCATTCAAGGGGTGGGGGAAGGAGGAAGGGGAGGTAAAATGTCTCAGATTAGTAAAAGTTAGGCTGGGGTGAAGAAATTCCCTTCCAGTACAGCTAGAAATCCCCTGCATAAGGTCTGGGAGGAGGCATTTCACCTGTTTACCCACCATCCACCCCTTCCCCACCGGAAGGCACTCGTGTCTCAGTTTTAACTCTCGCAGCCAAGGGAGGAATCACCACTGCTGTGACTTTGGGAGTTTCCATCTAGTGGGAGTGGGGGGTGGGAAGGAAGGAGGGAAGAGAAAACAGCCTCAACTGGAGATGTTCTCAGCCCCCAGAGGGGATTGGCATGTCCCAAACAGCCTGGTTGCCATCCTGTGTCCCCTGAGGACTCTGGGTATCCTACAGGCTGCAAAAAAAAAAAAAAAGAAATGAAATAAAGAATGTCTCCTGTTAGAATAGTATTAGATACCTGGCTAAACTACATAAAATAAACAATAACAGGACAAGGACGTCAATAAATCCTAAGTTATCCCTGGATCACAGCGGCTCTGGGCTGCTGAGGTTCTCTTTGGCAAGGCTGACGCTCGATGTGTCTGGCCCAGGCTGGGATCTGAGCTGGGTGTGAACTACCCGGCCCAGCAGCCGACACAACACAGGCTTTCCCTACCACCTGGGGAGGAGTTCTGCTGAATTAGACAAAACAGAGCTGCCGTGTCGACACCTGGAAGATCAGGACTCATGGAAACAATCTTTGTGGCCAAGACAAGCTTACCTTCTTTATAAAAAAATCTCGGTGCCCTTAATCTGCCTGCTTCTGGACTGTGTCAGAAACAACCAGAACAGACTCACAGACTTTAGGAGAGACAGGTAAAACCATCGGGTTTTAAAAGAAAATATTTTCCTTAGGCTACAAAGGTAAGGTGGCTCAAGGTAAGAGAGGCTCATTCAAAAGGGAGACAGGATGGAGCCAGTCTTCCACGTTTTGGTACCATGTCTACATATGGAGTGATTTTTGCTAATTTTTATCAGAGTATCTAGTTTTCCAAGAACATGATTTAAATAAACTTGGTATATTATTGTTGTGATTTGTGTTATATCTTAGGGACAAAATCTTTTAAAATGAGAATTCTTTTTCATGTTTGATGATAGAAGGTGATGGAAAAATATGATTCAGTTTTCAGAAACTAGCTTTATACTCAACTTTATTCAGGAAACACTGGATTCCTAGCTGAGGACCATGGGTTCTGGGGAGGAAGTTTTGTGACAGGCACAGCTGAGCGTGCCTACAGGCAATGACACTGAGCCTGCATGCCTGCCTCCCTCGCCCCTCCCCTCCTCATCCTCACCCACCCCACAGCCCTACACTCCTGGACTGGGGTTACACGAGCATCGGGCGTCGCTCGAATTGGAAAGAGATGTTAGGACAGGGTGTGTGGAAGCTGGGCGGGTAGGACAGCCGATTTGTCCCGGTGATGCCAGGAGTCCATCGGCAGGGAGGGGCCGTGGGCAGTTCTCAGCTCCAGGCAGCAGAGTCCTTCAGCGCCCACGGCCCCTGTTCCAAGACAGAGAAAAAGTGCTAACATGGAGGTAATTGATGCTTCTGAAGACAACGCATCAGAGCTAGCGGCTCAAGGTGGGAGGCTGGCCTGCAAGTCGGGGGGGTCCCAAGATGGGAATTTGGTCATTCATTAACTTTCATATATTGAACACCTACTGTGTGAGGACCCTGGCCAATAGGTGGGGATATAACAGTGAGAAACCGAACCAGCAGAAGAGTGGGTGTGGCTCTGCCCTCTCGGAGCTTCAGTCTAGTGGGGGAGACAGATCCTGATCAGTTATTCTCTGACACCAATGAGGGACCTGGGATTTGGACGAGTCAGGAGGGTCCCCCGGGCCATTTGCCTGCGTAACCCCAGGGAGCACTGTTCACATGGATGGCCAGGCGCCCGGCATCTCTGGACCTCTGAGGACTGTCCTGGGAGCTGAAGGAACAGTAGCCGATACATAGATAAAGAGGAGGAAGGGGATGCCTGGCAAACCCCCCGAGTGGGAGGTGGTGTCAGGAGGCACCTCGCAGGCTGTGTAGACCTTATATCACTGCTGCTCCAGCCCTCAAACAGAGCCGCCTTCCACACCCGAGAAATTACACCCCCTGCTCTCCCGCTTCGGGACAACCTCACAATGCTCTCTATTTCTCTTTATTTGGGGGGTGCAGGGCCCAGCATGGCGGGAAGCCCCTGAGTGGTTCTCGGACTCTGACACCAGGTCTTTGCTTGGTCCCTTTGACCAGCAAGGACACATTCCCAGCAAAGTTGCTGGTCGCCATGTGGCTGTTTGCCTTTCATCATCCTCTCTGCAGTATCTTATCAGGGTGAATGGAGGACTGTGACCTGGGGATAGTGCACTGAAGTCGGGCCCAGCCACACGCTCCACCCTGAGATTAGCGCTGTGAGAAGCGGTCCTAGCTTTGGGCACATGCTCAAAGATCCCCTGTCTGGGCTGGAACCCGAGGGGCCTTGTCAGCCTCGGCAAACACTTTGGTCTGTATCTGCGGAGCAATTGGGAAGCCACTGAACAGTTTTAATGAGGAGACAGCTGCGATCTGATTCTGAATACTTATCTGCAGGACCAGACCCAGAGTTACACAAGGTGTAATATTGACCTTGCTGGCAAAGCTCAGGTCTAAGTGACCAGGACACTGGGAGACAGCCCTCTCTTCCGCCCTCAGCCTTTGGTGGGGCACTGTGGGTGGGTGTGCTCTGGCCAGCTAGATAGAATTCAAAATAAGGCTAAAAGGTCTTGTTAATCAAAGGAGACAGGTTTCTTAAGAACTTAACGTTACCTGGAAACATCTCCCCGGAGCTGATACGGCCTGGGCCTCTTGACTGGAGAGACTGATGACAAAGATGATCTGATGGGGCAGGAATGGAATCATCCAGGCTTGGGAAATGAGGCCCAGCCACCAAGGGGAAGAAGCTTTCACAAAGCTCTTATGACTTCTTTCTCCCCTCGAGTGGACGGAGCGGCCGAGCTCTCTGCACCGTGGCTCTGCGTTACCCCCTTCCACAGAACTCCCCCCGGGAGGCTCCCGAGAGGTGGAGCGCTGCCCAGAGATGGCACCGTTTTCCCTTTGGCTCCACAGAGCCAGACTCCGGTCTAAGTTTCAAATGCACCAAGCGGCTCTCTGCTCCAAAACCAGCCCTTTAGATGCCCTCCCCACTCTTTTGGGGGGCGGGGTACAGTATAAAAATAAAGCCTCTTGTTTGTGAAGAGCTCCCTGTGGGTGTCTGTTTCCAGCTTCGACCTCTGGGGCTCATCATCCACCTCGTTCACTGTTGGATCTCTGGGGAAGGGTCGTGATGAACCCACACCCCTGGACGGCTGGTGTTTCTCCCCCAAACACAGGCTCCTCACGGTAATCACGGGGTAGACGCCTTCTTACCAGCCAAGCGAAGAGACTTCCCGCACATCCTACAGAGCGGCACGGCCTGGTCCTCAGCAGTGTCCCCCTGTCACAGCCGGGGCCTGTTTGCGGAGATGGCAGCCCCCACCACTCCGCATCCCCACAGGCCCCATCCAGAGCCCTCTGCACGGCACGACCCACACTCGGTTCCCATTGAATAACAAGTGTGAAATGAATACTCCTCAAACAGATAGCAAATGACCACTCTAGCTCAACTGAGCTGTTTTGTTGTTTTCTATGTTATGAAAATTTCAAACAAATACAAGAGTAGAGAGAATAGTATATGAAACCCCACGTAGCCATCACCCAGCTGCATCTTACAGCCTATCTTGTTTCATTTACACTCCCACCGACAATCCCTCCACTGGATTTTTGTTATTTTTTCAGAGTTTTTCACCTTTTTATTTTTTAAAGGTTTTTTTTGTACTCAAGTATAACTGACATACAACATTATATTAGTTTCAGGTGTACAACATAATGATTCGATATTTGTATAACTCAACTGAATTTTTTAAAAGCAAATGCAAACCATCAAATCATTTTATCCTAAAATATTTCATTGTGTATCTTTAAAAGATAAAGATTAAAAAAATACAACACCATTATTACACCTAAAAATTTTACAATACTTCCTTAATGTCATCAAATATTTCGTCAGTGTTCAAGTTTCCCCAATTTTCTCTATTTATTTTACCTCTTTGTTTTGTTTGAATCAAGGTCCAAATGAGATTAGCTTTTTGCTAAATGCATCCTAAATTTCTAGCTAAACTATATTCGGTTGGCAGACAGTTGGCAAACTCTTCATGGTAGCAGATTCGTATTTATTAAATTTCACTTTCCAAGCAAAAATGTTTTTCAAGATTTTTCACTTCATATCTCCTTCTCTGTCAGTTCCCTGAAACTCTAGTACTCCCCTGGAATTAGAAACTTATTTTTTCTACTTTTAGCATATTATTAGAGATTTTCTAGACACAGGCCTAGGAAAAAAATATACATGAAAGGAAAAAGAGATCTTTAAGTGAGTGTTTAGTTGAGAAATCTCTGTTGCAGAATAGATTCAAGAGTATCAGAAAACTGACAACATTTACCATTTTTGGCTTGGTCAGCAAAACTTTTTAGAAAAAAATGCTCTTTCCTTCAGAGAACATAAAAACTCCTTTGAACTTTTCAGAAGTGGGAACCAGGGCCTCCTCTTTGAGAAACAAGGGGCAAAGTCTTGCTCTACATCAAAATATGACCTGGTGCACTTTATCCCTCAGAGGTTATGGATGTGGGCCTCTTACCAGAGAGTTCTCAATTCTCCTCAAATTAAAAACGAATATATTTTCTGGACATGCCTACAATTCTTCCTTTTTAAAAGTGGATGTGTACGTGTGTGTGTGCACACGCACGTGTGTTCACCTACACTCTCTTATTATGGAACGTGATTTACGGATTTCTTGCCCACTTACTACTTGTAAATCATTGAAAGTTTTATATCCCCAGCAGTCAGCAGTCGGTTATAAAATCAACAGAGGGCTGTACTAAATAAACCTTTGCTGGACTGCTCTTAAGAATTGATGACAAATCAGAGAGAGAGGACAACTCCATGGGAGTGCTTCTCCCCGCCTCTGGGGCACCACGAAGGTCTCAGATAGGGGAACTGTATTTGTCTTGAGCTTTTAAGAAGATTAATAACCAGATAAACTGAGAAGGAAATCAGCTTTCTAGGTTCCAGGAGTTTTCTTATAACAAAAAAGTTGTCCTCTGGCACCAAACCTACACGTGTGTAAATCATAGACGTAAATCCGTGTGCTGGAAGCTGTGCTTACACACTAGGGGCTGAAAACGAAGTGTATGTAAGAAGATAGAGCTTTTCCTGTTTAAACTTTCCCATCTATTAGTTTAAAAGAATAAATTTTTTAAAAAGGGGATACATCTGTGTGTGTGCTCTTTTTAAAAAATACATAAAAAGAATACCTCTTGCAGAATA